AAGAAAAACCAATGAGGTATATTTAATATATGCACCTCATTGGTTTTTCTTGCCGTGGTTTTTGCGCTAAGGTAGCTAAATAAAATAACTATTCAGACTGGAAGTGATCAATGTTCCGGGGTGACCTCTGTGGCAGCCAGGTTGTGTCCAATAAAATAAATAAATAAATAAATTTGGATTTACAAACTCAGCTCAACATTTTATTACTAACCTACTCACACTAGAGCCTTGTGATATTGAACAAAAGATACCATAAATTACATAAACAATAGTTGTGATGGTCAGCATTGCTGAAATTTATGGTTTAGTTTTATCAAATTAGGGCCCGTGTGCCCAATGTGGCCCGCCATGGCATTTTATGTGGTCCATGAAAGTTTCAAATATTAAAGGGTTTGTGACATGCATGTACTTCAAATAGAAAAAGTCAAAGACAAAATATATGCAAGAAACTATAATACACATGATTTTACTTATTATAAGTGAAACAGGAAGTGACATCAAAGGGGAACTCTTTAAGAAAGAGAACTCCCTGGCATTTGTTTATTAAAACAATATTATTTTGAGCTCTGACTCTTCTTCATCTCTCTCTCTCTGATAAGGACACAAAGTAATGTAAAGAAACATTTATTTCTTTACTACTATCTGTGTTGTTAGTCATTGTTACAGTGCTCTGTTTATGCTGTCATCACTTCCCATTACTGCACATGTAAAAAAAGTGTTGATTTTTTTTTTCAATATGTGATTAAAATGATCTTTATTACAATTTGATCTCACAGGTACTTTAATGTTTTAAAATAATCCTGAGCTGCTTTAATGTACCTGCAAATTACTCCACCAGGTGGAGGTGCACGAACTCTGTGTAAAAACTCCATTTCACTGCGTTTTCGCTGGCTACTCTTGCTGCGGCCCAGTTGTACTGGGATGTGGGATTTTCCCACTTACAAGTCGTAAAATTTAAACTGGAACACCCCCTCCAGTGGAAATTCCTTGTTGGACAGTGAGAAAGTTTGGATTTTAAGATGACAGCCACTCCCCTCAACGCAACAGTGAGTAACAACTTACATTTACAATTAAGAGCATTTCTGTATTATTTATTTGACACTTAGTCAGTCGTAAATGCTGTACTTTTTAATGTTTTATAGGAGGATGTGTTAAAACACTGTTTAGATGCACAAAACACCAAGTAGAGCTCAGTTATCATTTGATAGCGGTGCTCAGCTGTATGAGATGAGGAGTGTGGCGTTTTGCGTTTAGTTGAAGTTAAATGCAAAACGTCAAAGTTAATTACTACCGGCTCTTTGAGGACCACCATAATGCTCATGTAGCTCTCTGTGAAAATGAGCTTGACGCCCCTTATTTAGGAGAAATCAGTCAAACAATATTTTTGATTTTATGCCTTAGTAGAATGCTTGGTGTCCTTCTGGTTTGAATGGCAAGCCTTTTAAATGGCATGAGCTCTTGTTTACAGTACATAAAGAGGGCATCCAATATATTTCTTACCATAAAATTAAATGTCAGCGTTGCATATGGAAATACAAGAATAGAATAAAAGCTTTTCAGACTGCATAAACCCTGATGCTCGGATGCCTCAGCCATTATTTCAGCTCATGAAAGGCCTGCAGTGTATTGTCAGCCTCTCCTAACTCAAGTGAATCACCACATGTCCTGTAACTCCACACCAAGAGAGCCCTTTACTCACAGCGCAATATGTCAGAGAAGGCTCACTTATCTTCTGTTGACTCAAAGCCCTCAGCGCCGTCTCTGTGAAACCTGTCATTGTGTTTGGGGGTTTATTACTGATGCCCACGCCCGCCTCACTGTCCTCAGGACTGGACAAGGGGAGCCTGTGTGCCCTGTCTAGAAAAAAAGTGGGCACCCTTTGGAAGCGAGTCTACTAAATTGTCATGCATGTGTTTCTGCGTCGAAGCGATATGGTAAGGGTGTCACGCTGCACGGCAGGGAGAATTAGGCCTCCAGTACAAGATAGATGTAAAGAGCAGCTGTTCCCTTGACACTAAAACAGCCTTTTGGCACATTAGCCACCTTCAGGCATTACAGGACTGCTTTTTTTTTTACAGCAAGAAACCAACTACAGAAGCTCACGTTCAGCGAAGTCCCCGGAGTGTAGTTGATACACCAATACACCTCTAGAGTTACTCTTGGAACAGATTAGTGCGGGGCGTGTGAGTCAAACTGGGAGAACTGGATGGTGTAACAACAGGAGCCTGGCATCCAGTCAACAGGCCTCATTTGAAAGCAAGGAGATAACATGAAGAGAACTAGAATGGATGGTTGACAAGTTATTCTGACAGCAGGTGTTAGAAGTGAAGGCTGTAAGAAAACACCTGACTTTTCTTATACTTTCCTTCCTGCTTTCTTTCTTGGAATATCGACCCTGTCAGACCAGTAGTACTTGTCTCACTCAGCTCTGTACACCATAGCTACATATTGACTCAGCAGTGTTGGCTTGGGTAGTAACAGGTTGTGAAATATGATGCTCTGCAAAGTAGTCAATAAGAGATACCTGCATTAAACCTGTTTTGTCTTAATAACAAACAGTTCTTCTACCTGCATGTAGGTTGTCCCAGACATTTTAGATGGGGACATATCATACAAAATATACCTTTTAGTCATTAAATGCATATTGTTGTGTACTTGGAGTCTCTAGGAGTGCAGAAAATTAACATTTAGTCTCTCCCGTTGCTGTGTAAACATCTTGATTGGGTCATATTTTCGAACCTGTTTTCTGAACTATTATACGTCAGTGTTTGTGACAGAATTTCTAAATAAGGTCTGGACTTACCAGTTACAATTTTGTCGTCTTCATTCTCCCCTGGCTCTGGCTCCAACATGTAAGTCTGGATTGACAAGTCTTCCCTTGATGACATATTTTAAGAAATTTGTGGGGAAAAAAGTTTCTGGGCTGCTATACAGTCGTAAACCCCTCTATCAAATTCGAATGGACCACTCTGGAAGCTGGAGGGGTGCAGGGTGTGAAGCACCTCATTTGGATTTAAAGAGACAGTCTCAAAATCAGTTGATCTGTGACATCTCAGAAAAGGAGTGAAAGAGGGGCTTGTAGAGTTACAAGGAGGAATTCAGACCAAAGCATTGTTACACTTTATATTGACCCCCAACTGAACGATTTAAATGTGAAAATGAAGGCTTTAAAAGCACAAGTCTCCTTCAAGGTGAAGATGTTTCATAAAGACACTGGGCTCACTGTGCTGCTGCAGAATAAATTTAAGAACCAAAGACCTCCCTGAAAGTAAAAACACAAAATAAAATCCTAGTTAAACATCTGAATTGAAACACTTCTCCTTTCAGTGAGCAGCATTCTTTTAAACCATCTTTACAAAGAAGAAGAAAAGAAAAAAGAATAACTGTTTGTCTGTAAATATAGACTTGCAGCACTTGGCAGAGCTGCAGAAGAAAGGCTGAGCCATTTTGGAAGTAGACAGCAGCCAGTTGACTGGTGTGTTTTTGTGATGCACAAAAAGTGGGAAACCAAATCAAATACTCAGACAAAGCCTCAGCGTTTCCTGACAGCTACACTGAGCTATGGAAATAAAAAAAGAATCTAGAAAAAGAATTGCTGCAATAAACGGCATTGGTGCTCTAATGTCTGTGCAAACAATAAACAAGAAAATGTTTGCCACAGTGCAGCACACCAACCTGTTTGCAATGAAAACTCTAAAAAATAGATTCTTGGAAATATTTTTCATCATTGTTTATTTGATGACTTCTTAACATAAATCAGAATTGTACGTGTTTGTGGTTACAAACACAATTTTACCACTGCTGTAGATATAAAAATGATAAAATAAAATAAAAAAATTCTGCATTCACTACTGGCTTCTCTTGAAGTTTGACATAAATCAGCATGAATTACTTTAAAAAAACATTCAGTGGAAGATACTGAGAAGTCCTTAAAAAAAGCACTCTTCACCATGTTGAGACGCATTTATCTGCCAGGAAAAAATAAGCAGTTTTTCAGCCGTATCTTCTGCACAGCCCAATTATGGCGGATCAAAGGCAGACAACATGAAGGAGGGCAGTGAGGATAAAAACACAGAGCCGTCTCTCAGGTCAGGGTTTGTCTGCTGCACCTATACAACTGGAGAGAGTGAATAATAAAGTGTCCTCACTTTTATTTGAAAGTTTAAATGAATATATTCTAAATTTCCTCCTACATACTGACACTTCTGCACCCTTTTCAGTACTTCTTTTGAGTTAACGTGTGTTCCCCTTGATGACATTGCAAAGAATATATTTTTGAATATGATTCTTTTTCTCTAATAACAGAACATTTGAGCAAGTGTTGGGAATATATATATAT